CATTTAAACAATATTTAACTAAGAAACATGCATTTTTGGGGGGAAGCACATTCTTGGGGAAAACTTGACGCGTTCAATACTGATTTAGTATTGGTGGGTTTAAGGGCAGACTAAGCAACTACTAAGCAAGCCCCTTTTCTGGCAGGTTGTTTGGGCTTCGGGGCTGCAGGGGGATACCTTAAATCAGGGGGGTTTTGAGGAAACACGAGAATATATTGAGTAGGGTTCTTTGGGCAAACCTTGTTGGCCCTTTACTTTAGTACTGATGGGAATCTGGGAGGGAAAAGGGGAAGCCTTTAGTCGGGGGGGGGGGCGGGGGTTACTAATCGCGCGCTGACATTAGGCTTGTCTTGACGCCCTTTAAAGAATCAACCAGGCAGATGCCCAAGTACATTATTCATATTTATTCATTTGCACAACTTGAGCGCCAGTTTTTGCGCAAAGTGGTTTGCTTGCATTCGGAAGCCCTCCCTAGTTGGTCCCGTGTTGTGGGTTTGGCTTCCTGGAGCCCCCAGGGCGCCAAAGAGACGAAGTTGGTGTTAAAAGGATACGGCCACTGGCACGTATCATGTTGGAAAGACACCAATCCCACATGGAAGCTTAGAGGCGCACCAACGTGTTTTCTTGCAATATTTGGGGCATCCACCGTAGTGACGAAACGAAACCAGAGCCTTGCGGTATGCAAACGAGGCACCATTGTTTTTTTCTCTCTGGGCTCACGGGTTGATGGGCTGCTTCCAATGAGGGCTGCCAATCTATGTTTATTTTTTCATGTGGGATCATACGTTCTTGTGGCTGGAACTTCTCCACACCTCAACCTGGCCCAGCAGAGGAAGCGAAGTAAGGCCCAAATAGATCAACCGAGATCTTGCATGCCATATTATAACATGCTGATTTGGTGTTTTGTTTCTTTGGTTTCCCATTTACATTTGAGCTTTCAGAGAGATGCTCAAAACCTATAGTTGAACCCGGTGGTGACCTGGGTGACCTGGGCTTTCAGCATTTCGATTCGTGTCAGAAGCAAATCAGCCAAAGCAAATCAGCACGATCCCCGCAAGCCATGAATGGCATGTTTTCCGTGTTCTAAACATGGCTCCCTCTGAAGAAACCCTCCCACCCACGTTGCCATGGAACTGTTCGACATTTCGGGATCCTGTGTTGAATCGTTTTCCTTTCAAAAAGGATCCTCTGGTGGGTTCCATGGCAACGTGGGCAGGAGGGTACCGTTTGGTTTTTTCTGGAAATGGACTCACTCGTAGCAGCCAAGCCTGACAGTTCCGAGGTCGGAGCTTAGCCCTTGAGGTTGTGCTTAGCAGCAATGGAATTCTAGCGCAGATCCCAGGCGTAAAACACTGCAGGTAACCCTCACAAACGGCAATTTGTCCGTTTGGTTTTGAAGGATGGGCGTGTCTTTTTGTTAGGGGACCCGCAAAATGGTTGTTTTCCCTTGGGTTTCGCTTTAAAACCAAGCAAAAGGGGGTGCCCTCAAAAGGACACGCACCCGGATGGTTCCTCGCTACCGTACAGGGAAAGGGACTCACAGGCACCCGGACAGAACCTTACAGCTTCCCTTGCGAGGCTTCGCTACCGCGAGGACCAGTTCGAGCCGTTCTGGCCATACCTGCGTAGTACAACTGCCCAAAGATAAGAATGGGGTTCCAAGAAAATCGACAAACAGGTTGAATCATGTCCGTGTTTAATTGTCCAAAACAAGAAGCAGTACTAAACTAATTAGAATGGGGTTGTGCGGAACTTAGAAACCATGCATCCTTATCATCAGAGAATCATGTGTGTGTGTGTGTGTGATTCTTTAGTCCCTTGCATTGCTAACCTAATGCAAACGGTAAAAACTTCGAGTCGAAATCCTGGGAAGACTACTTGAAAGTGGCCTTGAAAAGTGAAACACAGTATACCGTATACTTCGCAGTTGGATCAAGCAAGGAGACGGTCACAACTGCCCACTGTTGTCCTTTGGAGCTTTTGGTTTGAACTGCGCTTGGAGTTAGTTATTACAACCGGCTGGCATTCAGGAACCAAGTGAGCACATGGATGGCCAGTTTCCCAAGCCAGTGAGCAAATGAGCGAATTCTAGCTTTCCTTTGGGGATCCCCCAACAAATTAACGCCCGAAATGGCAGCATCCCGAAAGCGGGCAAATTGGGACTTGCAGTGACCACGTTTCAATGCAAAGGTCCCCGTGTCTAGTTCACCAGAACACCTCCACACCGCCGATCTGGCGCCAAACCGCCGGTTTTGAGGGAAGCTGAATAGTGTTGGATGAAGCCCTATGAAATTGTGGATGACTCCACAGTATGACTTCCTTTCACCCCCGAGTTCCTGAACTTTAGTGACTTTTGGGTCCGGACCATGTTAGTTTCCCAAAAAAGTTTGGGTCCTTTTTTTGGCCAATCCGCTCAATCGGCGGGAAGGCAAGCGAGCCAAGTGCCACATCTCTCAGGAGGCCCAAGAGCTCCGGTCCCAGCAGCTCCGTCTGGAGCAGCTCCAGCGAGAAAGCACCACCGAGAGGCGGTGAATTCGCGCGTGGCTTCGGTTCAGTTCTTGCCATTTTCAGGTATGGGGTGTGGAGATCACGCTTTAATTATATATATATATATGTATGTATACCATGAGTATGAGCTTGCAAGGGTAGTGCATACCCCTTAACCTCCATACCTCGAAAAACCCATACCTGAACATGCCCTTGACTGGCAGCCCTTGACTGGCGGGTGTTCACTTGCTTTGTTGCTGGCACCCAGTTCTGGCGTTCAGGCTGATGTTGCTGCGCATGGTGACTCCAATTTTGAGTGTGCTTTAAATAGGGGACTCATGTAGTTGTTTTGTGGATGTCCGACTTCCTGAGCAATTGGCCCAACAAAAGTCCATTTTTTATTTGTCACTAAAATGGTCTTCCCACAACGTCTAAAGTGCAAGGTGTATGTCAACGTAGAGGAAACCTGGCTTCGTTTTGGCTCCCCATTAAAACACCCAAAGTGGGTACCCTCAAAACAGGACCCCCCCCCCGATATTTACTCATCACCCGTTACGTAGCCCAGCCACCCAAGTCTGACGCATGCGGATTGGACAAAGAGTTCCCAACTCCGCGTGACCACGTATCCTTGAAACAGACCCTCAAACACCGTCAAAGCCACTGTCAAGACTGGAATGCAATCGCCCAAATCATTGAGGAGCAAATAGGTGGCCTTCACGTATTTTGCTGCGTATGCATTTCAAATCGCCCAACCGGGATAACTTTGGGGGCCCTCCATGAATGGTATTGCCAATTGCGTGCGAGGAATGCTCAGGCAATGTGGCATTGTGTCAACAAACAACACGAGCAACCCAAGCAACACCCTTTCACAGGCAATCACGCCGCTTGCAACTTATGCCGCGAGGTATGCGACATGTTGCCAATCATGGATGTTTTTTTTTTCTGCAGGACCTTGGCGCTGGCTAGAAACAAGGATGTCGAGTGTCCCTTGCTCTCGTCTCTTGAACTACTGTAAGAAACCCTGGCATGATTCGATTTCGCTGCAAATACCAACTTGCAATGGTTTCCCATGGTTTCAAAGTGGTGCGAAATGGATTTCGGCCATGCACGGTATCGTTTGAACTTCTGTTGTTCCCCTGAGGACATGGTTCATTCAGGTTAGACACAAATGGTACAAGGACAACTTTGTGGATGTGCAGGCGCCTCGCTCCTCCTCTTCGGCCGTTGCCGAGGCCAAAGTGGGTGGCGCTTGAAACTGTTGAAGTGTGATGCGTCTGGTTCCCGGTGAGCCGTTAGGTTTCCCGTTGGTTTTAAACGAGCACGCAGCATGCTACGGTAATGGCCCCAACAAGTAATTAGATATGTGTTGGTTAATCAATGGTACTTCAAGTGAAAGGAAGCTGAGTTGGTGAATGTGATAAGTCTATGGCTCATCTTGCAATGACACACTGTCAACTTATCCTTGACTACTTGCATTTGTTTGTGGAAGCCTTTGTGGTGCTGTTGACTGCTTCAAATTTGTAGAATGGTGGAAGTGCTGCTGGAGCTGAACGTCCGGATGAAACTGGAGCCAACCGCCGCAGTTCCGGCACAACCCATCCAATGCTGACTTTATTTGTAAAACTGCCCCTGCCACCCCAAAACATCACCCCTCAAACACATCCAGTGAGTGCGGACCCCTCGAAGGCCCCCGGAGTTTTTCGCGGACACGTCGCAGCAACAGCGGCTCGCTTTGCATACGCAAGTTGCCGCGGGCTGCAGTTCAGCAGGAGGGGTGGAGGGCGCTGTTTGTTTTGTCCAGCGAGTTCCATGCAAGCAGCAACCGCTTTTTTGAAGCAGTTACTGCACAAGTGCCATGCGTAACCTCTGAACTTGATATTTGGGTTTGTTCCAAAGAAGGCAATTTCTGACATAGTGAGGTTCCTTTTGGCTTCTTTTTGGACATCCACACGTGCCGAGTTTTTGGCCACCCTCTCGAGATCGAAAATGTGTGCTTCCGAGTTCGGACTGCTGGGGCAGCGCCCAGTTGGCGCTGCAAGTGGTTCTATTCGCCAGGTTCGGTGGGGTTCCCACTGATGTCATTTCCCTACTGTGGATGGACGAAATCCTGCACCACCTAAAAAACCCTGGGGTGATATGTAAATACCAACAAACAATGGTTTGCTATGGCTTGAAAGTGGTGCAGGATTTCGTCCACCCACAGTATGGTAGGAAATGAAGGGCTTGCCAGCCTTTAAAAAGCATTGAGATATGGATCTGGGTACCTACCAGGCTTGCCTGTAATGAACTGGGGTTAGTATTACGGGTGTCTCTACACACCGCATGACAATCTTGGTGGAAAACATCACATTGGCTTTTGGCCAGCGAAAGAGCCCAAGAAGGTCCCTAGTTGGTGATTCCTTAAATCACGAGAGCCATTTCATGTTGAAAGGGTGGCCACTACTCACAAACTAGCGCTAAGGGACACCAAAATACCCATTCAAATAAAGATAGCGCACAGAAATCCTTCGTTCATGGAGGCCTTGTTTGAGAGCATTTGCTGCCCGTTGCTTATTACATGGATGTGATATGAGCGGCTTTCCATTTGCGACCTTTCTGGTGCACCTATCCTTTTGACGTGGTTTCAACCTCAAAGGGGGTACCCTCCAAACCTTGGCTGCCCAAAGCGAATCGCCCTTTTGATCTTTTGGTTTTGTGTTGGTCCATATCTAGCCAAGGTCGCAAAAGGTGATCACCTTTCATGCCCAGGTCCTTTGGCCGGGCGAGAAAACACGGACGCCCGAGGCTCCAGCTGCGGCGGCATCGTGAGAGCCTTCAGCAGGAGCTGTGCCAGCTATTGGCGGAGTTCTCTCAGCTCCGCAACGAGCAGGAGATCCTGCGCCTCGGCCGGCAGGAGTTTGTCACTTCCTGAGTTCATGAACTTTAAACTTTAGTGGTAAATATAAAGTTTGGACTTTTTTGGGGCCATCCACTCAGCCAGTTTTTCTCAGACCTTGCTGTTTGGGTATGTGTCAAATGGGTGGCTCGTTTTTTTTGAGGGTGCCCTAGGCGTTGCCTAAAAACAGACACACCCAAACATGAGGACTTTCGGTTTTCCTGGACTGGCCAAACAGGGTACCCTGAAATATATATATATATATGAGTCAGCGTCAAAATTGCTTGTCTGGGATGTATTCATCCCGACGTTGGGACGTCCCGTATCGTTTCCTGGTTTTTCTCTCAACTGTTGGGGTATTTTTTGTTGCACGTCCCGTATCGTTTTTCGAGAAACCCCCCAAAGCAACATGTGCATGAAACACTCCTACATACAGTGAATGACGGTAATTTTGAAGCCGACTCATATATGGGAGTCGTTCTAAAGGTCCTTGCACGGAGTTTAGTATTCGGTGACCATTGGCGCTGGTTGAAGTAGCTCCGCGAAAGATTCGCGATGGAGTTGCGAAAGTAACTTTTTTTCTCGCGAAAGTTTTGCGTAACTGTGTCTTGTAAATCAATGATATGTGAAACCATTCATCTTTGCCGCTGAGCCTTCCTTCTACGCTGATTAAAACACTTTTTGGATTTTGTGCTGATAAAGCCTGGTGAGGCTACAGTTTGATACCCTGCTTGGCTGGTTAGTGCCCAAGCCTGTGTATGTATGTCTGTGGGTGTTTAGTCGGTGGCTTTCCGCTCAGAAACGTGGGTGATTTTTTGCGAAGCTTCCGCGAAAGATCCGCGAAAGCCCGCGCGAAAGCGCAGTCTTCGATTGTACGGGGGATACTTTCGGAGCGCCGCGCTAGTCAATGTGCCAGTTTGGTACTGGAAAGTTGCGACTTTAAGCTGGAGCTGCACGGTTTACGAAAAGCTGCGTCTTTCCAGCCGGTTCATGTCATGTACCACCACTGTGATGAAAGTTGCGACTTTACAGCTAAAGTTGGGGAATCGGATTTCGCGCACTGCACTGGCATTTAAAAGCTGCGATTTTCTGACTTTGCAAGGAAAAGGGCGCGGCGATGAATCCGCGAAAGATTCGCGCAAGTAACTTTTTTATTCGCGAAGAATGGCCGTTTCGAGACAAAGGAATTTAGAACAACCACCATATATATATAGATACATTATATGTATATGTCACACATATAGAAAGAGAGGCGTTTGTTTTTTTGACGGTACTCTGTTGCGCGTGGTTTACAAGGGAAGCCAAAAGGCGAACACCCATTGTATTCTTCAGGTTTCTTTATGTGGCTAAGTGCTTTGTTAGAGAGGAGGGCCAGAATGGTGGTGTTCTTTTTGGCGTCCGTTCAGTTCCATCCAAAATACTGACATAACGGTTCCCTTTTGTTGAGGGCACCCTTCTTTGAGAGGTCTGTTCAATTGGGGACTTCCAAAACACTGTGTGGGAAGCCAGTAGCCAAGCATGGTAGCATCCCCCCCCAGAAAACAAAAAAACAAAAACAAAAAACAAAAAACAACACGTCAAACCGTGTTGGGGTCCCCACCACAGATGACACGAGCCATCAAATATGGCCCTTAATTCTGATTTTCGGGATCTCTTTTTTTTGCGAAGGTTAATGTCTATCCATGTAGCCATCAAATATGGGCGCTAATCATGTCCAATACTTTTGACGCTATATACCAAAAGAAGCCTAGCCATGCCTTTGGTTCCCCTCTCCACGCAGTCTCAAGTCCAGCTGGTGTCCGTGCAAAAGACGACCAAGATCCGGTTCATTCAAAACCGGCAACCCAAAGCAAAAGCCAAAGCGAAGAGGGAACTTCTTTAAGAAAGTCATTAGTTTGCCAGAAACACTGCAAGGTCATATCTTTGCCATATCTTTATTTCGGGGAAACCAGCCATATCTTTGCAGGAACATCTGGATGTCATGAGCTTCGATGATTTGTGTGTTTGGCGAATTAAGCCATTCCTTGTGTGTGTGTGTGCGTGCGTGGGGCATCTGAATGGATCTCATTTGCTTTTGCTTGCCCTAAAAGAGAGTTTCTCAAAATGGTAGCGAATGGCCCAACAGGGAAGAGCATGGGTAGGTTTTGTGTTTATAGTGGGCATCCCACGTTACTCCAAAGCCAACCTTCAAAAGGCTATACTACCATAAGGGGGTCCAACTGTCCAACCCTGCCTATGTGACAAAGGATGTGAGGTCTACTGGACCGCCCGCCCCCCCCCCCTCCCTCCCGCAAAACATGAACATGTTTCTTGCAGCCTCCTTACCGTCCCAAACCTCACGCAAGGTGACTGGACTGCCGTTCCTTGTGTTTTGTGGATATGTGATATGGGTCTGTGTGTGTGTGTCTGTGTGCGTTGTGTTTGTTGTTTTGTGTTTGTGTTTGTGTGTGTGTGTGTCTCTGAGTGTGTGTGTGTGTGCCTGTGTGTGTGCCTGTGTGTGTGTGTGTCTCTGTGTCTGTGTCTATGTCAGTGTGTGTTTCTTTCTTTCTTTTCTTGTTTTCCGAGGGCCCGAGAGTACCATGTTTTCAATCTGGTTCTAAGTGAAGCGAAAAGGAATCCTGTTTTGAGGCTTCCCTATTTTGCCGCAACCCTTATCTCTCATCTTAGCGGGGGTTTGAAACACCTCAGACTTCTACAAATTCTAGACATCAGGGCTTTTTATCGGAAACCTTGGGAAGACTGCTTCAAAGGGGGTCTCCAAAGTAGAAACAGCACCGGTTTTTTTGTGTAGGGAGCCCCTCTTCTGGTGGCTGTTGAAGGGAAACAGAAAAGAATTTTGAGCGGTCCTCTAAACACCACTATCTATTTTGTTGGGGGGCGGGGGAGGGGGCGGTCGACTAAACATAGACACACCGACACAGACATTTGCCTTTGGGGTGTCTCTCCGTGTACCGCGCTTTAGGTGTCAGGGCGGCGTGCCCTTTATGGAGACCTACAGCCGACTGCGGTGTAGCCGGGCAGAATACCGGTCCGGCAAAAGTGGGAGGTGCGGTCGGTTTTTGGTGAACGTCCTTGGTCAATTTCTCACTCCCTCGAGTTTAGGGACTAATTCTTCTGGGCCTCAACTTTATGGCTATGAGGTTGTATTTGGGGACTTTTACTTTTTGGTTGAAACAGGAACAAATTTTCCGAATTGGACCCAGAAAGAGTTATTCAAACTTGTTGCAGAGGGGGCGTTACAGCAAACAAGCATTTCTCACTCCTCGATTTGTTGGGCTTACTTTTCGGGTCTTGACATTTCAGTGAGTTCCACGGACTTTTGGTGGCCAAGACACGGAATCGGCAGTGATCCAGATGTGGCGTCCTTCAACGTGGGAACATGCTCCGAAGCTCAAAATGACCAAACGACGTAGACATGGGTGTGACTTGTCGGAGAGTACCCTTTCGGATCTGGCAAAGCGAAGCCAAAGGGAACCCGTTGCCATTTGGGGGTTCCTATTCCTATGTTGCGACAAAACCCACTTCTTGCCCTGGGAGTGTTATACTCAAGCTGAAAGTCGAGAGGTCATGGGCCGAACAGGGATTTTGCATAGACAGCAGTAAGGGTTCCTCTGAAGGAATGAATGACCATGGCCTACGCTATATATATATATATAGACATTATGTGTGCGTGTGTGTGTCTTGTTCTTGGATGGTATCATGCTTGGGGCAAAGGAACATACCATTTGAGAGTTTCATATCATATTGCATGGGTGGGTTGCCCTACGTGTGTTTGTTGCACCAACCTGCCAAACAGGATGCCCACTCCAAGCACACACACACACACACCTTCACTGCACTTTTCGGAGGGATCAACCATTAGCGTTGCTGTTTAAAAGAGGATTCCGAGGATGGTGAGATAATGAGGCCCAAACTCGAAGGGTGCAATGTTTGGATTGGATCCTGTGTTGTTGTCATCCTATTGTTGGTGAACATGTTTGATGAATCCCTTGTTAACAACAAGCTGTCTAAGGCATCGCCTTTTTGTGTCCAGTTAACAGTGAAATATGTTCGTAGGTCCCTGCAAAAACGGGTGCCCCCAAGGGAGCTTCCTCTACAAGTTCGGTTTCGGGAAACACCATGTCAAGCTGGCTGTTTGGGTATCCTTGTTGAGTTCTGAAACCCAATAGGTGGCTCATCTTTTTTCGGGCACGCCCCAAACCGGCGGTTTCCGGTCTTCCTTTTGGTTTCGCTCTAAAACTCACAAAAGCAAACAGACGGGGGTACCTTTCGCAACTCCAAAAAAGGACGAGCCTCAAATGGATGCCTTTGTCCCCGAGACGCAGAGTGGCCTCGTTCAGGCAACGAGCCCTTCCGGCTCTTCCCACCGCCGCAGCCAGTGCTTTTGGAGGCGCTCCGCTAGCGAGCGAGGGTCTTGTGGATTTGTTTGTTTGGACCCGTAGCCTCCGGTCCAACATGGGTTGACCAGAGGTTCCCTTAAGGAAAATTGTCCGAACCAGGACCCTTGGTTCTATGTTGGACTGGAGGGTACCCTCAAAGCAGCGCCGGCCCTGTTGGAGGCGTCCTTCTATTTCTGTTTGCACTGTCATTGCCATTTGGGAAGCGGGGTTGCCCAGTGCGATCGGCGGGAAATGTGACATCGATTACGATTGCAAGCCTCAATGACCAAACCAAATTCAGGTAGACTGGTATTGGGTCCTCTTTCCTTTTTCCATTTGCCCAGGGTTTCTGGGGTAACCCATAGGCAATTTCCAGTTCTTTGTTAGTCCGTTTGAATATTGACATGTTTGTTGTTGAAGAAGCACGGTGTTCCTACTTAGGAACTCTGTTAAAAGCGAACCCAAAATAAATTAAACATAAAATCAACCCTTGCTTGATCAATAGGGGGTCCTATCTAAGAGGAGACCCTTCACTTTGTGGGGAACCATCTAGTAATCTGCCGAGCTGAGTATTCCGAGATCGACAAATTCAGGGGGAGTCGATCAGTTCTGTGGGTTGAGTCGGACCGGACCGACTTAGGTGATTTCCCCCTTAGTCGGAGGGCATTTGGTTGGAGGGTTCCATGTGCCACGTGCAAAAACACCCTAAAGAAGCTGCCAGACCACCCGGGTGAGTTTGTCTTGAGGAAGCCACTTTTCAAGGGGCTCGTTTGTCAGGTGACCCGTTTAATTGGTTCTGATTTTCGGGTTTCAGATTGCACCGAGAAACATTTGTGTCTGTGTGTGTAGCATCCGAAAGCAACCTATGTAGGGTCGCTTTATGGCTTCTTGTAGTCCAAGCTATCTGTATATACATATATTTTGTTCCCTTCCTTCCAAAAGAAGGCATTTGTGGCACCTGGAAGATCAATTTCCTCAGAGACACCTGCCTCCCTCCGCTTCTTTCGGGGTTACTAAATTCGGCTATCCTTCGTACGTTCTCCCAAAATCAGTCGGAGGTTGGGCGGCTCGCCAGGAGCCCGGCTCATTGAGCTCGACCTCCTCAGAGCGCCCCTGGCGTCGCAGTTCACGCGATCGAGACGATCGACACGAGCGGCGCGGGTCCAACCTGGAGGCACCTTGACCTCGATTGAGCCGCCCTTGTGCCAACAAGCCCTTCCAATTGCCTAAGAATGCTTATTACTTCCCCTTCTTGGTTTCGAAGGGAATCTATCGCTACTGGAAATCTGTGTTTTTCCCCAACAGCTGAAAGCTTTGGGGTCTCAGCCCAGATAGGCTCCGGGGTGGTTCGGGGCGACCCTGAGCTAAGGTTCCACCAGGGTTCCACCAGGGGTTCCACCAGGGGTTCCACCAGGGTTCCACCAGGGTTCCACCAGGGTTCCACCAGGGTTCCACCAGGTTCTGCAAGGCTAAGGGCGGGGTGGTCTGGGGTGGTTTGAGGTAAGGTTCCACGAGGGTTCCACCAGGGTTCCACCAATTTCTTTGAGGGCTGCGGGTTTGAGGTTCACAAGGGTTCCGCCAGGGTTCCACCAGGCTGCGGGGTGGTCTGGGTGGTTTGAGGTAAGGTTCACGAGGGTTCCACCAGGGCTGCAGGGTGGTGTGGTTTCAGGTAAGTTTCCACGAGGGTTCCACCAGGGTTCCAGCAATTTCTTCGAGGGCTGGGGTGGTCTGGTTTGAGGATATGAATATACACCCTGGACTAATAGCTTTTTTTGCACGGTTTTGCGCCACAAAATGCTATTACTCCAGGGTGTATATTCATATACGGCCTGGAGTAATAGCATTTTTTGCACGGTTTTGCGCTACAAAATGCTATTCTTCCAGGCCGTATATGAATATACACCCTGGAGGAATAGCTTTTGCACGGTTTTGCGCTCCACGAGGGCCACCAGATTTCCACCAGAATTCTGCCAGGGTTTCACCAGGTTCTGCGAGGGCTGCAGGGTGGTCCGAGGTGGTTTGAGGTAAGGTTCCACGAGGGTTCCACCAGGTTTCCACCAGGGTTCCACCAGCCGTCGTGCTCCGGACGAGGGTTCCACCAGGGTTCCACCAATTTCTTCGAGGGTGCGGCGTGGTCCGGGGAAGGTTCCACGAGGGTTCCACCAGGGTTTCACCAGGGTTCCACCAGCGGTCCGGGCTGGTTTGAGGTAATGTTCCATGAGAATTCCACCAGAATTCCACCAGGTTTTGCAAGGTAAGGTTCCATTCCAGCACGGTTCTAGCAGGGTCCCACGAGGTTCTGCGAGGGCTGCGGGGTGGTCCGGGGTGGTTTGAGGTAAGGTTGTATGAGGGTTTCAGGGTTCCACAGGATTCTGCGAGGGCTGTGGGCCCTGAGGTTTCACAGGGTTCCACAAAGCTCTGCAAGGATTCCACACGGGTTCCACAAGGCTCCACAATGCTCCACCAAGGGTGTGTCGTGCGCCCGTCGTGTGATCGGATCAAGATCGCTTTGCTGATGGGCGGAACACTAAGCAAAGCCGAAATCAATGTTTTTTTAGCACACTTTCACTGTTTTGTGACTTGCTCACTTGCTCAGGCAAATGTTGGCTTTGTGGCAAATCAGATCACGTCGCTGCGGAACTCACGGTGCAGCAGATTAAATGCTTGGCATTGCTGCTTGGTTCCAAGAATTCCACGAGGCTGCGAGGGCTATGAGGTCAGAAGGTTTCCACCAAATTCTGCAAAAGCTATGGGGCAGCCCTGAGGAAAGGTTCCAGCAAAGTTTCACGCTGAGCTCCATGAAAGTTGCGTGAGAACGGTTTGCGAGGTTCACCGGGCCTAGGTCGGGGCCCGATTGCACTGTCGGGGTCCGCCCGATTGCACCGTTTGGGCCCGATAGGCCCCGATTGCGCCATCGCGCCCCGATCGGGGCCCGACTCAGTCGGGCCCCGTCAATTGTACCAAGCTGGCATCGCCTAGTTTTGCTATAGATACAGTTGCAATCCGCATACTAGGGAAAACCGGCGTTGAGCTACAATATGGGTGGGTGGGCTTGCACCACGGGACGATCGGGGCCCCGTCGGGCCCCGATCGGGCCCCGATCGGGCCCGATTGCACCGTCGGGCCCACGATCGGGCCCCGATTGCACCGTCGGGCCCCGATCGGGCCCGGGGCCCGACTCAGTCGGGCCCCGTCAATTGTACCAAGCTGGCATCGCCTAGTTTTGCTACAAAAACAGCTGCAATCCGCATGCTAAGGAAAACCGGCGTTGAGCTATAATATGGGTGGCTGCGGGGCCCGATTGTACCGTCGGGCCCCGAGCAGGGAGGATGGTCCCGGGGCGTTCCGCGAGGATTCTGGGAGGGTGTGGTGCTGTAGGGGATATCGCCCGAGCTTATTTTTTCTTCAGTGGGCTTAAGCGGAAACTACTATCTTCATGGTTGCTGAAAAGATCGCAGCTGTATTTCCGGCACGGATCTGTGTTGGTAGCTTCGCAATCGAATTCCACTAATAGCCATATTACTGGTGTTCCACGGGGCAAATCAATGTGAAGCCCTTTGTGGACGAACCTTCTCAGGGTGGGGTGGTGGGGCTTGCTTTTGGGCCGGGGCGGGCAAAAGGAATGGCAACTGCAAGCAGACTGCTGGACGATGCGGTGGTTAGCGCCCCCATGCGTCATTTGTCCATGCCCGCTTGGGACAAGAAGCCAGTTCTGCCTGTATATAAGGCGGTTGGTCCAGAAGCCAAAAAGACATGGCAAGTTGCGCACCGTGCGACCTGCGGCCTTTGGAGCTACTGACTCTGACCCGATCGGGCCAAGTTGATCCGAGGTGCAATCGTGTGTGCCCCTCTCAGGCACGGCTTCGGGCGGAGCCTCGCATTTCTTGTGGGGTCCTTTGGGGCTCCCGTCTGCGACTCTTTCCTCGGTCCATAGGGTGCACCATTTAGGTGGCAGATGGAAGAACCAGCTGATTCCGTTTAAAGCGAAGCCGACAGGATGTCGTTTAAACAATAGTGGTTTAAACGTATACAAATGAGGGGTTGGCCCAACTCCTAGTCAAAGGAAGCGTGAGCCACGTTCTGAGCGGTGCCTGACCCTTTCGGAGGATTGATTCCATTTTTTAGTTGCCTTCAGATGGATGGTGCTGAAACGAGTTGCAAAGCCGGGTTTAGACTTGAACAATACTCAGGATGAGCATGTGTTTGAAGATGGCTAGCAATGACATATAGTTAGATGTGTCAAGAAGCAGGTCATTTGATGGGGCGGCAATGAACCCCGCTGGACCAGTGGAACCCAGCCGTTACGCCACTTGAGCAGCTGACAGATCCAGTTTCCTGTTTGTTTGAAGGATGGGCAAGCCTTTGGTTACCAACAAAGCAAGGGAATGAAAACAGAATGAGAGTGTTATTTACGGATCCAGGACACATGGCCCATCCAGCCGAGGGCTGCTGGCCATTGGTCAAAAGACCACTTCCAGAATTTTGGATTTCACGATCATGAGCCCTTGCGGATGTTGGACAACCGTAAGGGTTCCCGACCGAACAATGATTCCCGAGTTTCCGCAATGGATGATTCATGGCATGGGTGTTGATACGCACAAAACACTTCAATTTGGCGATGTGAGACCGAATTCTAATTAGGCAGCCCTTTGGTGGACATCATTTGCCATTGGCTCTTAATCCCGCCAACCACTGTTAGGGTGTCGGCGTTAGAACTCATACCTATGTGACTTGTTTGTTTCCGAGTTAGGGGCCTTGTTGCCATACGCAGTGCTTCCAGGCAAACCGATTGCCGCCTGGGAAATGCACATGTAAACGCAAAAGAATCGTCATGGTTGCAAGGACTTTTGTTTTGTAAGACAACTATACAGGTACCCTCCTGTCCACTAACATGGAACCCACTTCCTCTGTGAGGTTCCATGGGAGTTTCAGATCGGGTTTTCCCGACTTGGCCTGGGGCTTGGCAGGCTTCAAGGACCGCGAGAGCGATGGAGGCGCGGGCACAGGTCCATTGGGGCACGGGCCGTTTAAGGGGAGCGTTTCAAGGGACCTCGCCTTTATTGTGCCGGACTAGCATGACTTGTGCAGTTTGGCACCTTTGATGGGGGAAGGCCACAGGCCTTACACGGCTGTGTGTGTGTCAGTCAGAATCTATTTCAGCACCAGTTAATTTGAGCATAGCATCAGAAGCAAAGTTAGGTAAAGTGGAAAATCGAAGTTAGGTAAAGTGTAATAATGCACAGGACCTAAACCATTGTCTTTCATGCATACATCTCTGAAGTGCTCAAACATGTCAGTCAATTATTTACTAAAAAAGATCTTTGGTGTCAAATACAAATCGTGATATGTTCTCATATGTTTAACGTAGTACCGAGTCCTCATAAATGTTGCCTTTTCATAGTCGTCATCACTAATGGTATCCTCACTCAATTGCATGTTAAACAATTCCGTAAGGGTACCGGGGCAAGGGTATCAACAATGCATCAAACAATACCTCTTCTGCTTCGCCTACGCATCTTCCATCTCTCATCTCAACTTATCTGCAAATCCCCTTCGTCCGTCAGCTTCAAACCTGGACCGATACCAGAACATTTGCTCACAGCTTGCGTGCCTTGACGAATGCCAGCTGCTGGCTAAGAAAATGATTTTCCCCTGAACGACATCGGCTCTGCACACAACATGCTAAGAAGTGTGTTTGTTCAATATCCAGGGGTAGGTTTGAATATTGTTAGGTCACTTTTAAAGAATTTTGTCTCCAACGTCCGTACCTGAACTATCAACTGTATTTACCGTGGGCAAGTCCGAAAGGACAAAAAGATGCATACCCAAACAGAAATGCCTGTAAGCAAACGCCTTAAAGCGGTTTAAACCGCTTTTGGATCTAAGATTGAGCATCTCAGGAAGTGACCTCGTTGTCCCCCCGGAAACCGCTGAAACCCCAGCGGAAAGAGAGGAACGCTCCCATTCCGTCAGGCCAGTGCAGCTCCTCCACGGTGACCGGGCCGCTCGGCGATCAGCTACATCTGCCGAGATGAACTCCCTATGGGCGTCTTTTTGTGAGGCTCCGTACCTTTTCTGGGGTGGGTTTCAAGAGCACCAATCATGTTTGATCATTTTTTGGATGTGCCCCCTATTTCAAGGGGAATATGCGTTTGTCTCAAATAGGGCGGGGACTCCCCAAAATGGTCAGTTTCCTGTAGGTTCCCTAGCGCCAATCCCGAAAAGGGCACCCTCGGAGGACTCACGCATTGCGCGTGTTGGTTTCAATCATCATCTGTTGGAACCGCCAATTTATAGTATCCTTGTGACAAAGGGGACATTTTGGGGAGCCCAAAATGTTGACCCCTTGAGAATGTCCAGGCCGGATGAAAAAACCTGGTGGATTAATAGGAGTGAATGGGACATCCCCTATCAACATTAAGGCGAGGACAAATCTTGGGTTCCAGTGTGCGTCCAAGCGGGTTCCTGCCTTAGCAACCTCTGTTAAATATATCAAGTCTTTCAGGACCTAACAGGCGGATGGTATAGAACGAGAGCTAGAATACATTACATTCAAAGCCGTCTTGCCTCCACTTGATTTCCTAGTTGGTGTTTGTTTGTTTCTTGTTAGTTTCTTGGTGTTCGTGTGTGTGTTTCCTTTGATCTATGTTTGTCTTCGGCTTCTGAGAGAGGAAACCGGTAACAAAGCAAGTATATGACTTGGTCATTCACATTACCATCACCAGCCAGTCATGGTCAACGTATAGCAAGGGGTTTTGACTACCCCCAAACCATGTTTGTGACCCAAGGGCAATAGAGTAGTATATACGCGTTATATAGTCCCTATAAAGTTGTCGAATACCACATGTTCCCCTGGGGTGGTGGTTTGGGGCTAGTGGAAACCCTCTTCGATGCCGGGATCTGTTTTGAAATGGGTTTACATTCTCGTGTGGCCAAAGCAGCAGAAAAACTGCAAGTGAAGTTCCACTGGAGTTTTCAACCAAAGCGGGCCCCAGGGTCTGTTATTGTAATCTTGAAGTTCCACTGGCTGTTTCAACCAAAGCGGGCCCCAGCCCACCTGTTGACCAAAGAATTGGCCAACCCGTTTTGGGCGTTGGGTGCCGTTTTTCTTTTCGTTTTTTGGTCGGCGGCTTCGCTGAGGCTGAAGAGCGGGTTGGAGGCGTTCAGCCCGAGCCCGACGCGCAGCTCTGTGAGAAACTCGGAGCCGGGCATCCACCAACTTTCTAGGGGATGCCATCGTTTTCCCATTCAGCCATCGTTTTTTTTTTTTTCTCCAAAACCAGAAATCCAGCCAGTTACCTCTAGAAACTTCCATTTGCTGAAGATGGTGTAGTTTCTGAACTAGGTCTCCCAGTAGTGCCCTTTTATCCGTTTTTTGGGAGGGTTCCCCTACCAAAATAAACTATAGAAAAAAGGGTACCCTTATTCTAACATCTTTACTGGAGGACCTAGTAAAGGCGGTGTATCCACTTTTTTGTCCATTTGCTGAGGACTATGCGATAATATCTTTCTGTGATTATCAAAGCGATCGGAACTGGAGGTTCCATTCAGGGGTCTTTTCCTGTGGTGGATCCCAGGCGTTTCGGTGCTTGCTGGTGCGATAGGTAGGGAATGACTGTTCTGGGTGTTTGGAATGAGGCGCTTGGGGATTCCCGTAAAGGAAACATCTTCTGAGAACCAGTAAGTTAAACTTCCATTTGACGTGTTGTCAAAAAAATCGGCCCTTTTCTGGCAGCCCCTTTAACAGGCGGTAAAAGCCAGGCGGCACCAGGGTCCGACAAGGAACCGGCCATAGTTTTGGCACACACCCAGTTTCTCAAGACATTTGCATCCCCCCGCTCTCCCACCAACAAAAGGGACCTGTGGGAGGTATATTTTTTTCCGGGGGATGCAAGCAAATGGAGGTAACGGGGGTATCATGTTTAGGGTCCTGTTTTGTGACACAACCATTTGGCTGCACAAAGTTGGTATGCCTCAAAATGGTGGAAACGCCTAAGGGAACCATAACCATAGGGGCGGAATAATTAGAATGGGCGGGGAGGGCAGGGGTTCAGCCCTTTTGGTTTAGGGAGGGCCAGGTGGACATTCTCCGTATTTTTCTTTTTGGTGCGATAAGTAGGGAATGACCGTTGTGGGGTGTTGGTAACCCAGGGATTGCCTTAAAGGAAACAATGGGATGGATGATTTATATGGGTCACTCCAACTCAGTCCCTGCGTATCGAATCAGCAAGTTTTCTATGGAGCACAAGTCAAGGAAGCCTTATCCCATCAATTTGGTTTCCATTTAAACGCCGTACGAGCGAGGCAGGTATCCAGACTTCTCCCCACAGCAGGTTTGAGTATTTCAACCCCTCGTGTGTGAACCATGTTTTTACCAGGGTTTGGTCGTGTAAAACATGGCGCAAACAATCCTGCTGCTGTATAGCCCCACAATCACAATGTTTTTCGAAAGGAAGCCCAACTGGGTAGGGCGGATGCTTAAATGAATGTTTTCCAGGCTCTGGTATGATCCAGGCTGTCTATCTCCAAGCAAGGAACCTTCATCATTGCGTTTTGTCCCCATGTGGGCTCGTTGCAGTTTGCCCAGATGGTTGTTGATTTCCCCAAGAGGAAGCCACTTCAATTTGTCGCACCCAGTTGAGGGAGGGCAGAGGGGAAGCGAGAGACGGAGGGGGTGGGCACGTCAATGTTCAGAAAGCCCCATGAACCGGGTGTTCGCAGTCTGGGGCAAGCCATGTAAGTGCCCTGCTGACGTGTGTTTCTTTACTTGGGAATCCAGTATGAAAGAAGGCAGCGCTCAACCCACCTATTGGCCATTGCCGCGGAGGTCTCTATCCTGTTGAATGGAGATGAACGTAAGAGCCGCGTATCCTCCCGTTAACAAAAAAGGGAAGCACGCACGTCACCGTTAAGCACAATACCAGAAGGCGTGAGAATTATGTTTGCAATTGAACAGCCTGATTCTAGTGAAATTTGAAACAGAAACTAGAACTTCGATTATGGTGGTTGATTGTTCCTCCAAATCAACATATAGAGCCCAAAGCCAAAGTCACCAGAGCATGTGTTTGCTGGCTTTGAAAGAAATACGTTGTTTCGTTGATTGTCCGGCACAGATGTAGAACCACTGGTCACAAGGATTTGCGTACTTCCCTCTTCAGTTTCTCCAGATCGGTTGTCGCGCTTTTCGCGTGCTCGTTTTCTTCAGCTACCAGGTGCAGCATGCGTATGAGCTGCAGGACCGGGTGCCACATGCCAATTCAAGGCTATATTTTCCTGGGATTGGGCGTTTGAAGGGACACCGGAAAGGAAGTTGCCTTAAACACCCTGCAGTCAAATTGATGCTGGTTTTACAGCAAGGATCCAACACCGTTTGGTTCCGTTTTAAAGCAACAAATCAACTGTGTCCAGTTGGTTCCTTTGTTCTGATAGGCTTCCCCTTTTAAAGGTTGCGTCCTGGCAAATGGCTTGCTTCGTCCGCAAGATGGTTTCTACTTTTCCCAAAAAATGTCCACCTCATATTTAAAACACCCCAGCCAGAATCCCCAGCCCCCCAAGGTCGTTGGTAGGGGCATGCTGCTGGTCCACGCCTTCGCTCGCTATTTCGGATTTCCTGGCCGAGTCGGATTGTGCAACGAGAGGGGTTTCTACATACGCTCCGGGATTCAGATGCTTTGTTTTTTTGTTGCGGGGGGGGGGGGGGGTTCTAAATACGAGGTGAAGATCCACAGTCCTTGGGAGATCCAACAAGGAGAACCCATCAGCCATGGTTTCTGCGATCCCTAGGAGCCTCGAGAGGACGCCAAGGAGTTGCCCGAGGCGCGCAAGTGCGCAACTTTTTGGGCCCCGAGTCTTGTTGGGTCTCATGGAAAGGGTTTTCTGGGGTCTCCAGAACGGTTCGATCTTTTGGGAGTAGAAACAAGCTCCAACATCCCTCAAAGAAAAACGGAAGCCTCGTGGAACCCTAGCCCCTATTTGGGCAGAGACCCCAAAACTTCCAGCTGTTGGGGAAAAGCATGAAACAGAACCTGAAGACATGATTCCCTGGATACCCCAGTGCCCAAGTTGTTTTTGCCAATCGGGATCCGAGCCTTAAAGGAAGCCGCCTGGACGGTTCTGTTCGGTCATTCCAACTCATTTTTCGGAAACATGGAAGCCGCCCATTTGGCCCCTGATGTCAGATTCTTATGGTTTACCGTGTTGTAGTGGAGTCCAATCCGGATTTTGATTGAGATTAAGGATCCCTTCCGTTTTAAACAACCCGGCAAAAGCGCACCCCAAAGAAAAACCAGCAAATGTGCTACTTGCCAGTACTTGCCTAGGGCCACCATCTTCCCAGGTGTTGCCCCCTTTGAAGAAGCAACCACCAAGCAAAGTGGGTCCTTGTTCCTTCGGGACGACCTCCTGCATCGTTATGGCTTGCCTCAGGACCATCTCTTGGTTGTTTATGGAATTCATCGGTTTTGCAAAATCGAAAAGGCGGGATTAACACTTAGAATTGACCATTGGCATTTCAACTTGCATCGAAACTACTTCAAGTTGAGTGTGCGAAGGTGCAGGGGGCGTTGAGGAAAAGCAATATCCAGTGGTGTTTGCGATCCTCGCAGAGTGGGTGAGCAGCACGGCTCGGAATGCTCGCAACATGAGTGACTGAACATGAAGTGAGGCAATTGTTGCTGACCGTGTTCGACAAAACCAGATATGCATATTTGTCATGGGAAGATCTTGTGTCCAGCAGTCCAGCAGCGAAAGTATCTTCCGCTTACACAGCAAAAAGAAACTTGGCTACTCATGTGTGCTTGAGCCATTCTGCTCGTTCAACTTGCAAGGTGGATGTTCGCTTGCTGCCGCCGAAGAGCTACTTTGAACCTTGCATGGCCTGCAGTGGTCTCAGATGCTGAAACTGAAAGACATGCACTTGTGGTTGGCTGCAATTCCTACGTGCACTTACCAAAGCTGTACTGCGCGATCAACGATGCGCAGGCGGTGACCTCGACTCTCCGAGGCTTTCACAAGCGCAATATACATGAATGCTTGGATGCAACCGTGTTGCGGGTGAAGACCGCAATGGCTGCTCTGGAAGAACGGCTTCAGAGTGGCACTGCATGTCTTTATGGCATGTCATGGCGTGCAGGTTCCCAATGATGTCTTGTTCCAGCTGATTGATTCTCATCCCAACAAGCAGGGTGACGATGATGTAATCAAGCTAAGCGACCTGATCCAGAGAATCAGGCCACTGGTGAAGCCGCACTGCAAGCTTGTGTTTGTCCTTGACTGCTGCCGTTCCGCCAGTGATGATGCACCACCCATGGAGACATGGAGCCCGCCGAGCGCGTCTCGTCGAGAAGTGTTCATCGGCTTTGCCTGCGCACCACAGAGAGCATCCTTGGAGGACACGCAAGCAGGCAGAGGGGTCTTCACCAAGCACTTTGTCAAGTACTTGTCGACCGAATCAAACTTTTCGGTCGCATGGCAACGGACCAGAAACGATGTTTTTTGCGGAGACGAGGAAATTGCAAGATCCATGGTGCACCAACAACTTTTCTTCCTTGAGTACTTTTAGACTGATTGGTGTGCCATTTGTCTCAGTGCCTGAGAAGAACAAGTACTTTGTGGGAAGAAGGCAACAGCTCACAGAGCTTCTTCGCTCGCAAACAGGTCGCCAAGGATTCGCAGTTTTTTGTGGAGTTCACGGCTCAGGCGGGAGCCAGAATTGTCGTCGGCCTCGCTCATTTGAACATGACTTAAAGAGTTTGGGCAGAGCATTCCTCCCACCAAAATGTGAATTTCACTCCTGCTAAAGAGAAAACGCCCCAGCAGAACAACCGCCACCGACATGGCAAACACACTCTTGGTGGAAAGAAGTCCAGCCCCAGCAGAACACTCACCCCACACTGACATGTTCAGCACACCTCACCAGGAGAGCATCCGCCCCGGCAGAACAGAACCCCCCCCATCTGACAAAGAGAACTAGCAGACACCCACCAGCAACATGTCACACACACACACCTGGCAAAACTACACCCACACACAAACACCCTGCAAACACCCGCCACCAAAATGCGGAAACGCGCCAGTTTAAGAAATCGCCCAAGCAGGATCACAATACCAAAGTGTGAGCACCTGACACACGGAAGACTTGCCCCAGCAAGACTCCACCCAACTTTAGAGACCATTTCGCCGCGCGCAGAACCCCGGAAACCCCACGCAAAACGCGCACCTCGCCCGCCACGCCCAAGAGCACAACCGCGAGAAAAGCTACAAACCCCACGCAAAAATCCACGTCACCGACCATGCCGGCACCCCAAACACAACTGAAAAACGGAAAAAGGAAGCCCGAACCCAAGCGCGCAGAACCCCGAGAAAACCGAGAGAGAACCCGGGGAAATGCTACAGCCCGCACACAAAAACGCGCACCTCACCAACCACACCAGCACAATCCCTCGAAAAGCGAGAAACCCCACGCAAAACGCAGTCGGCGCACAAAATGAAGCCCGAACGTACGCGCGCAGAACCGCGAGAAAACCCAAAGAGAACCCAGAGAAAAGCTGCAGCCCCCACGCAAAAACACGCACCTCACCGACCACGCCCGCACCCAAGAGCACAGGCCCTCGAAAAGCCACAAGCCTCACAGAACAACGCACGCCACACACCATGCCGGCGCCCCAAAGACCAGTGCAAACAGATAAGTCAACCCAAACCTAAGCGCGCGGAACCCCTAGAAAACCAAGAGACATTCCATGCCAGAAAGCCCAGAGACATCAAATGGAAAAGCGACAAACCCGACGCAAAAATGCATACGTCACCCACCCAGGCCAGCGCACAAGAGCCCCACGCAGCAGCGGCCCGGGCGACCCCCGCCCAGTTGTGCCAGCGCCAAGCCTTGTGCCTGGTAACATGGGCGCGCCCCGCTGCCTGGGGGATTAGGGAACCACGCCGAACGAAGTCGGCGAACTCTTGAGCACGCCTGACAAAGAGCACACTCACCCCAGCAGAACACAAACCATCAAGTCTTTAGCATACCTGTCCGATGCATAAAGTCTGAAACAAGCTGTGTGGTTTCTGAAACACGCCGTGGGGTTTCGGAAACAAAGCATAGTCTTCGAAGCACGGGTTTCTGAGCCATGGTTTACGCAGCGTTTGCTCAGCTTCAGGCGGTATTGGAAAGACCCACATGTGCATCCAAGCAGTGCACGAAGGCTCTTCAAAAGCTCGCAATTGATCGCAAGCTTTGCCAACGTGCTACGACAGTTGTGACTGCAAGCTCGTCTTCTGAAGGACTGGCTTGCACCTTGGTTGGTGTTTGGTACAACCTCTTTTTTTTGACCTGGTCAACATTCCTAGCACACGCACCACGAGAAAAAATACGACTGTTGCAAGTGATTAAAAGCGAACCCAGGCATCGCATCATGACTGGGTCTTGATCTTTGGTTGGTTGGTTGGTTGGTTGGTTGGTTGGTTGGTTGGTTGGTTGGTTGGTTGGTTGGTGTGTGGCCAGCACATGTTAGTGAGGCCAGGCCCGCGCTTCCCCCCCGGCCGAAGCTTGGGGTTCAAGCCGGCCGGAAAAATAAACGCAGCCAAGGCACAAGCCGTACCATGGGGAACCCAAGGCCGGCGCAGCTAAGACAGGGGCAGAGGGTGGAAACAGGGGGGCCGGAAACTGGGGGGCCTGAGCATGAGTAACAAAGAAAACGCAGGAACAGAAGCATGCAAGGCACCCCAGAACAGGCCCGGTAGGATGTGAGACCTTCCCGAGCTCAGGCCAAGGCAATGGCAGGCTCGCCTGCGACGACGGTCAGGACCATCCCCCCTTCCCGACGCAGATTCTCGATACAGAGGCGAAAGCCAACTGAAAGGCCAGGCGGAGAGCCAAGAGCACCAGCACAGGCGGCTAGGGCCGCGGAGACTGTGACAGGGTCGGATCTACGTTGCAGGAAGCGGTACAGCCATCGCTTGATACGACGGTTGCTGAGCACAGGCGGCTGAGCCACGGACCTGACTAACCACCGACTCTATGTGCGCACTCAGGGCTGCCTGCAAAGGAGGATGAACTGGACGGAGAGGTGAGGCAGCAACTGCAGACAACCAAGAGAACGCACGGTCAGGGCAGAGCTGAACGACGTGAGCCGCGGACGGCAGGTATGCTGCATGAGCACCACAGTTCCAACGACAGTGAGGCCGGAAGTGGATACAGTGGTTGCAGCCACGACACACAGCATCCCCAAGCCCGTGACACCATGAGCAAGGGAGAGGCTCGGGCGGGGCCGGAGCCAGCCGCGCCCGCCCGCACGTGGAACACAGATCAAGGGCAGGGAGAGGGCCAGGAAGCGCAGGACAGGCGCACTGCGTATGAAGGATCTCAAGAGCAAAAGGCCAGGTGACAGCGTATCCCCACTCAAGCGACATGCCGGTGCGGACCGGGACCCCGCTGGCTTGGGCCAACCGCACGATTTGCTGAAGGGTACGCTCCGAAAGGCGACATCCCAGCTCAGAGGACAGGCGTGAACACATAATTGCAGACGTTGGCGCGAGCCACCTCAAGGCACGAAGGGTGACAACCCCGCCAGGGGATGTGCTCCACGCCTGGTAGCGCGCCAGCGGAGAGGGGACACCTGGAAGGGATACCTGCCATTGCTGGCTCGGGCTGCGGCGCCGAGCACGCTTGCATGGAGCGCACGCAGGACGCCACGCCCAGTCCGAGCAGAGTATTGCCAGCGAGCGGCCCGAAGACCACACAGCAAGACAGCAGTGAAATCAATAGCCGGCCGGAGCCTGTCCACAAGTGACCGGTGCCTGGCCTGCTCAGCGGCGAGCTAACCAGAACTCAGAAGGTGCGCAAAGCCTTCAGCTGCGTCAGGCAAGGCATCATCCGGCACAGGCGTGCCCCGAGCTGCCTGGATGGCACGACCAACTGCAGCAGGTAAAACACCGCGGTGGGCGAGGTCACATTCCCCCTCAGCACGCTGCCGCACTATGGCCCCCAGTGTCGGCAGAAAGAATGACTTCCCGGTCCAGCGTGGGAACAAGCCAGCGCCAGGCTGAGAGCAAGGGCCAGCGGGCCTGCACCTCCGGGGCAACGCTGCCAATGATCGTTCCCAGACCACGCGCCTGCACATCCCTGTGCCACACGTGTGCAAGGCGAAGCATAAGACCATGCATGGGCATTCAGCTGATCCAGCCGCTGTTCCAGCACATCGCGGAGTAGGTGGACCAACGGCTTCATGACAGAGCAGCTCATGATAACATGCCGAGGTGTGCCCGGCAAAGCCCTGCAGAGCGGGCAAGTGCGAGGGGAGGCAAGGATATTGCGCTCGTAGAGGTGGCGGGCAACTGACATGAGTTGTGGGTCAACTTTGATACGCTCAGTCCATCCGCCCCCAACGAGACGGACGCAGCGGAACAAGGTATTCCGTCAGAGTGACGAAGGACGCCACGTATTGCAGACCGAGTGGGGGATGTGACCATGGCCTGATGGTAGCAGAGAAAAGCAAAAGGGCCCCCAGACGGGAGACGCACGCAGTCAGGAAGGGGCTGGCTTTTGGCGGCTGCGCACCTCATTTCCAAGCACAATGAGGTCAAAGGTGGGGCTGGCGGACAAGAAGGCACCTCGTAGACCGCGAATGGCTGTCATAGACAGCGCAGCCGGGACCCGAGACCAAAACACCAGGAGGAAGCTGGCGCAGGAGCGGGGAGGGCGGGCTGGGGGTGAGGGGGGCCGGTGGCTGCTCCTGCCGCTCGCTCACGGCGGCGGGCGGCTTTGCTAGCCGCTGGAGCTGCAGCAGCAACCGGGCGGGCGGGCGCCTGAGGGGGTGTGCGGGCAGGCCAAATGGAAGCACGCGGGAGGGATGGGCGGGAAGCCGGCGGCAGGCAGTGGCAGAGGGCAGTGGGTCGCTTAGGCGTCGCGCGAATGGTTCGCTTAGGGATCGCGCAAATGGATCGCTCCGGGATCGCTTTTTGCAGAAGGCTTGTCGCGCATGCATGCGTGTTGATATGTTTGCTCGCGATGTATGTTTATATAAGCGCATGCGCGAGCATGTATGCGCTTGTTTGTGCTTGTTGGCGTGTATATCGCATGACATATGTGACGTGTATGTTTCATGACATATGTTACTATGTTTGCTGGCGAGTCCATGTATGTGGTTGTGTGCATGCGTGTTGACATGTATGCCCTGCGGCGTATGCCCCAGAACCCGATGAATTTGCACATTAGGTTACAGAGCAGGCTGGGCTGGTTCAGTTGAGCGGGTGTGCTTATCATCCCCCCCACCCCACCCTCCACCCCCAGAAAGAAAGAGATGCATTTGCTGGGATGAAGCAGTTCAGCGGTTGTGCCCCGTTACAGAGCAGGCTGGGCTGGTTCAGTTGAGCGGGTGTGCTTATCATCCCCCCCACCCCACCCCCCACCCCCAGAAAGAGATGAACATTATCATGCCCCCCCCCCAAACCAACCCCCCCCCCGCAGAACCATGCTATTTTGTAATCTGGTAAAAGAGCAGGCTAGTCTGCAGCAGTTGAGCGGGTGTGCTTACCATGCCCCCCCCACCCCCACCCCCCAGAACCATG